ATTATTAAGGGGTTTCTATCATGATCATTGTACTTTTCCCCCTAATATATAGTCATTCAAACATAAATATTTTCCGGTTGTAGTCCTTGTTGTTAAAAGGCTGCTAATCTTATCTTAAATAAAGACCCAATTTCTCACTGGACACACCAATAGGCGCGGACTCATTCAAAAAGTCATGTGATTACATAGTTACCCTTGCTATTTTAATCCAACTTTCAGTTTTGACAAAAGATAGACTTATTTGTTGATTTTGATTAGAAATTGTAGGGTGAAACTCATGGGTTAGTTGGGGAAGGGTTAAAAAATATGGATGAATTTTTATTTTGTTTTGAGGACTTTTTATGCACATTAAACCCTCTATTTTCCGAACCGGATCGGAGGCTGAACGAGGAAAGTTAGTGGTTTAAGGTTCAATGGTTAACAGTTATCAAAACCATTGGTTAACCGTTGATAGAACCATTCGTGATATATAACATATAAGACTTATATATTACACTAATTTAAGAATGAAGTTATCATTAACCTTTAAACAATTTCAAATTCATATCCTCACCAAACTATTTAATAAATCATTCAACCGTCTAACAACAAAAATCATACTTTTTTATTTCAGATAAAAATTACGGTGCTAGTCAGTAGTGGACAACGTAAAGTCGACAACAATGTTAGAAAATGAGAAGAGAAAGCATATATAAATTAATAATTACGGTTTGATGGTCTTAGTTTACTTTAAAGTATTTTTTTTAAGTTATGGTTAAATTAGTGAGCTAGTGGACCAGTTAAACCGTGATGATTCATCTGATTTTATGTTGAACTGTGAAAAACCGGGTGATTCATCAATAACCGTCCAAGGAATGAACCGAACCGCTATCAAACTAGTTTAGTGGTTCTACTGACTTAGTCATCAATCTGGTAAAGTTCTTATAACAATGATTAAACCTTGTGTCAATGCTTGGGTAGTCCCAATTTAATGGAGACAAACAAACTTTGAAGGCTAAGGAAAGACTTTTTCCAGAAATAGAACTGTTTAATTTTTTTTCAAAATAGCACTCAGTCCCGAAAATTTTCAAAATAGCACCCTTTCTCGAAAACCGCAGGGTGGGGGTGCGGTTTTCAACAAAAACCGCACGGGTAGGGGGCGGTTTTGCTGACCGCATGGGGTAGGAGCAGTTTGCGTGCAAACCGCAACCCCACGGGGCAGTTTGTAATAAATGTTTTTTTTTCAAATAATCACCATAAGTGATCTTGGCATAACAGGTTCAGTGTTTTCTTTGTATGCAAGAGGTTCTTTCTTCAAAACACCATCATCCCATATTAAATCTTTTTATTTGGTAAAGATTAAAAAAAGCAACATGTTGTGGAGGTGGTGGTTTGAACCCTAATAATATAAATAGTTAACTAAACTTAGCACAACAACTACACCATCAAACTACAACTTTGAAACAATTACATATTGACAAAGTTTTAGTCCTTCAACGTTAAAAATTCTCAATAACTTTAAACAATCATAACTTTGTGCGCCAAAATCCGAACGTCATGAATTTTTTTTCATTTCGCATAACTTTTGAAGGACTACAAATATTCCTAGGGAGAAATTTTTAAAACAGGAATTATTATTGGATATACAGGGTTTTGGGAATAACTTTACCTTCCCTTTTCACAAATTCACGTACATTCCGAAATTATGGTTATAGTAAAAGTTGTATTCCTTAAAATTTATGCGAAATGAAAAAAAATCATGAGGTTCTGATTTTGGAGCACAAAGTTATGGTCGTCCAAAGTTTAACAAAATCGGAAAAAAGCTCGTTCGGGGTAGCAAACGATATTTTTCGGGACAAAGGCGGGACAAGCGATTGGTGGCTTGCAAGATCTCAAAGAGTTATGCGAAATCAAAAACAAATCGCGACTATCAGATACCCGAGCACAAAGATACGTTCGTTTGAAGTTTCCACCTAGGTTAGGATTTTCAAAAAAAAATTGAGGACCAAACCGAAGGGGTGGGCAGCGGTTCTGGACCAAACCACCCCCACCCCGTGCGGTTTTCAAAATTGCCCGTAACCATGCGGTTTTCATCGAAAACAGCGCCCCCACCTAGCGGTTTTTCTGTAAACCGCATGGTGGGGTGGCGGTTTTCGAAAAATGGTGCTATTTTTGGAATTTTTCGGAACTGGGTACTATATTTGTAATTTTTTATTTAAACAGTGCTATTTCTCAAAAAAATTCGCTTAAGGACTATGTTAGGAAAAAATAAAAAATTTAGGAACCATACTTGGAAATAAATAGTTGATGAGGCATTATAAAAACATTATAATTAGTTCAGGACGAATGCTATTAACTCGTGAATTAATAAATGGGTAAAACGGTCATGTTTAGTCACTAAAATTATTTAATTCCAAAGTTAGTCACTCAAATTAGTAAAACGGTTCACATTTGGTCATTCTCCGTTAGTCTTCGTCCAACTCCATTAATAGAGTCTGTTACATGTTGAAGTGGCAAACATAATCGCTAGGGGTGTACATGGGTAGGGTGGTCCGGGTTTAGGCATTTTAATCATCCGACCCATGCACTACGGTTTGGAAAATATTAAACCCAAACCCAACCAAAAAATTTAAATCCTACGGTTTGTTTCTAATTGGGTTGGGCCGGGTTGACAATATTTTTAAGTTAAAACCCAACCCAACACAAAATATGTAATTATTCTACACCATAAAAATATTTTATAACTAATTAAAAATTCTAATGAATAAACCGAGGTGAAAGATATCAAAATTCACAAATGTTGTTTGAATTTTAATAAAATTTGATTTACTTCAACTATGCCTAGTTTTTTCACGACATTTGTTGAAATAAGCTAAAAAGGTTACATATGAACACATCCATAATATGTTATTCTATTAAAATTGTACACAAGAAAACGAATTACGTGAATCATAGCTATATTAAATTTATGTCTAAACTTTAAGCAGAATAATGTATTAGATTAGGGAGACCATAAGAGAAAAACATGGCGAAATATCTTAATTTTCTCATAAGTATGACTATATACGACATAAATATTTTTGGATACGAACTCATACCAATAATTGGAACACGGGTTGGGTCGGGTTCTACGAGTTGTGTAATCCAAAATCCAAACACAACCCACACTACAATAGAAAGTGGATTTAACAACCGGAATCTGAACGAGGGGATGCAATCCTCTCATTAAAAGGAGCATATTATTAGTAACTTCACACCCCGTCGGCATTAGACAGAAAACATCATCTTTTAACGAGAGGATAATTTTGCTCTCGTTATTGATATATTATTTCCTTCGATATTGCCAAATAACTCATCATGACGGTCAAACACCCATCATTTTTTTTTCGTTGAATAAACACCCATCATTGTTTATTGTTAAAAGTTACTTTTTTTGTCCGCTAAATTAATTTGTTTGAAATTTGGAGCCCGCTACCATTTTGGACTTAGCGGCAAAATTTTAAAGAGGACTGACTTTTTCGTCTTTGTTCAGCAAACCCAATTACTAAATACTAATTACAGTATAAAAGGATTCCTCTCTCTTTCTCCACCTCAAAAATTTCTTCTTCCTCCTTTTCTATTCTCTTGCCTCCTAGTAGCATACTCTCTATTTTTTCTCCCAAATCCCAGATAAAAAATCCTCCTTATTCTACCACAACTTCGATTCCTTTTCAGATCTAATCGCCTCTTTATACGGCATACCCACCATATGCCTCACCAGATCTACTCATCTCCAAATCATACAAGACCCATATGGCATAAGCTCTGTATTGTGTCTAGACCCATCTAAATTTCTAGATCTGAAAACAAACGAGCTTGATCTTCAGTCTAATATTTTACCCCTCCGACACTAGGATTGTTGCTTATACTCCTCATGTCTCATCGTTCCAGTAACAGACCCTCCTTTATCTCCCTCTGTTCCACAGATCGACATGCAATCTCCATAAAGATAGATCTAAGAAGAGCGCCATTGGTTCGATATGAAGATGACGAAGTCATATCCTCTCATTCTTCTCTGGGGTTGCTTTTTTGTTTTGTTTTTGGTTGAATACTGCACATTTGAGATTTTATGACTTCAAGATGTATGGTAAGCGCTAGCTATGACCTTATGAATAAAGTTCGGAAGATTGGGTGTTTGAACTGGGGAAGGACTAGTTGGATGAAAATGGCAAATTATGCCGATGACAAAGTTTGACATTATTGAGTTAATTACAATCAAAAAGAAAAAGGACACCTTACACATTAATTACAACTTAATTTATCAAAATTTTGGGTTTTTTTAAAGTTAACCATTAACGAGGGGAAATGACACTCTCGTAAAAGCTTTTAACAAGAGGGTGAAAGAATCTGGTCGTTATTAGCTTTTACCGGCAAAGCCTATAATGAAAGGAGGTTTCCCGTCGTCAAAAGTTTTTGGCGAGGGTTTTTGTCCTTTTAATGATCATTTTCTCCCCTCGTTAAAACCTCTTTTTTTGTAGTGCCATAAGAGGCGGTTGTACAAAAGAAAACCTCACCCAACCCAAAACCTTTGTTTTAGCAATAAATACGGGTGGGTTGGGTCGGTTTGCGGGTGTGTTTGTTCACCCCTAATAATCGCCTAGTCAGCAGAATTTAACCCCAAATATGATAAAACTCAACCTGCCACATCACTCGACCCCAACCCTTAAGCCCAACCCCTCTTCACTTTTGCAATCTTTAACCCTTTTCTTCCCTGACTTTTTCTCTTTCTTGAATCTAACCCTTCTTCCCCAAACTTCCACATTGCTTCCTCTTCCCCACTTCTTCCTCCGGTGAAACACAACTCCAGAGAACACATGGCTTCCTCTTTCCCACTCCTTCTTCTGGACTCAAATCCCCGTCCGATACTAGCTTTTCAAGCGCATTATCCAGCCCTGAAAAAAGAAAAATCAGCTACCCGGTAGCTAGCTTGGGTGAAAAGTGGAAAATATATATACAGAGAGAGAGAATGCAGAGGCATATTACTCCTTATGAGCGTAAGGTCTCCCGAGATAGCTGCGTTGAGAAACTCGGTTTCCCCTAGATCATTTGCTTAGGGAAACAACAACAAATGGAGAAAAACCTAAACGAAAATCAACAAGAGCTGGCAGGGCTGCGATTCGCCGGAGACATGGCGCTGCTCGACAATCAGATCCCCTTCTTCATCCTTGAATGGCGTTTTAATTACACAGTCCTCTTAATCTCCGTAGGCTTTCTATATTGCATGCCTCGACGTCGCTCTGTGATTCTTCAAATCGGTGATCAGTGGGTCACTGCTGATGACCTCGGGGCAGTCCACGACGGCGTGGACGAATTTCCCTGGGATGGAAACGATTAGAATGGCGAGCATGCAGATCATGAAGCACTTGCTCCACCTAACCTCACTAGCTACTCACCTTCTTTGTCTTCTTCCCATCCGAAAGCAAAGGTGAGGTTCGAGATCTGAGGGTGGCGGCATTGGTGCTTTCAGTGTTCATCCCATCATGGAGGAGCTGTCCCGATGGGGATTTGAGTCTAGAGGAAGAAGCGGGGGAGAGGAAGCTATGTGTTGTAAGGACTTGTGTTTTGCCGGAGAAAGGAGTGGGGGAGAAGAAGTGGTGGAGAGTGTTAGATAATTGGAGGGATCACTAATTCTTGTGTAGGAAATCCAACTCAAGCTTCTTCTTTGTATTGCTAGTGTACAGAGTATTTATAAGCATACAAGAGAAGTATACAGACAAATACATTTATTACATGATCTTAAAAAATATAGAGCATCAAATCTTGAACGTGATTTTGGTTAATGTGGAGCATGAAGCATGAACAGTGATTTGTGTGGCAAATGGACAAATTAACTTTGTTAACACCCCCTCTCGAACTCTAGATGGGGACAAAGACTCTAACTAGAGTTTGCCAATTGACCATGATGAACCTGAGCATGAAAAGCTGGAATGATGAAGATGCCATGATGAAGAATGTAGAACTAATTGTACACTGAACACAACCCCGATGATAGGGGCATACATAGTATGCAGATTGTAGCTTCTGGACCATCACCTCCTTGGTGACGAGTTGTAAATCTGATTACCTCCCCAGTGACAAGGGGCATATATAGTATATGCATATTTGAACTTCTTGATTATCACCTCCTTGGTGACGAGCTGTATCTAATCACCTCCCCGGTGATAAGGGGCATACTTAGTATGCGGACATTAGTACGAAAACAGGACTAACATCTCAAAGATGTGTCATTTGCTGATGAAAAACTTTGGGCGTGTTTTCAGAAAAACTTCATGATTTTAGGTATCATATGGTAAATAAACTTGTCTGGGAATGGAAGGAAGGTGACTGAACTTTAATAACAAGAAGCGAAAAAGGGAAATTTCCAGAAATAGCGCCATTTTAAAAAATTACATGAATGGTACCCAACCCACACAAATTACAAAATAGCACCATTTATTGAAAACCGCAGGCCCAAGGTGCGGTTTGTTTAGAAACTGCAGGCTGAAAAAGCGGTTTGTTTTCAGTGCAAAAATCGTTGCAGGGGAAGGCGGTCCAGTGGCTGACCTAGCAGAAACCGCTTGATGAGGGAGAGTTCCTAGGTCTTCAACCTACAAGAGGTTTGCTTTGCCGACAGGCAAACCGCACCCCACTTCCGATTTGTATGTCGTCCAAATTCCCCTACACCCGACATGTTGCCATGTAGGGGCTATAGAGATGTGGGTCTGCATGGCAGTTGAAAACCGCTACCTCCCTCTGGTTTTCAATCAAAAATTTGCCGATAAAAGGCAGCTCCGAGAACCTCAGTTCCTCACTGCTCTCGTTATTCGTCTTCAATTGTTTGTTGTGCACCCTACGTTTTAGAGTTTTTGCAATTAATGTTACTTCGTAAGTTTATTTTGTATTACTTTTATTGTGATTTGTGATTTTTATGGTAATAACTGAATTATGGTTTGATTGCAGATGAGATTCCAAAAGTTCACGCTTGGGTTACAGTGGAATGGTTACACGGAAGAGGCCAAAAAGGGGGTATGTTACGTCTGTGGTTATTTTTCATAAAATTATCGTCTCTACGAGACCGATGCTTGAAGAGCTTCATCAAATGTGTACTGAGGTTACTGGCATGGATGGCACGATAAGAGTAGATCGTATGGTGCATTTATCGATATCCAAACAGACAATAGGGTTCATTGTGGCATGAGGAATTTCTCATAACCACTCAGGATGAAGTATATGCCATGGTCAAATTTTAGAAAGACCATAATCTTTCCAAAGCATAGATGTTCGTTTGCACCAAAACGGTCGAAGGCGATGGAGGTCATTCTGCAGATGGCCAAACATCTAGTATCCATGGTGGAGGTGGATTATATGAAGATCATCCCTACCACGCTTACCATAATCCCCATTCCTACCATAAGTACCAAGAAGGAGGTGAAGGTCATCAACAATCCTTTCCATCATATGACGAAGAAGTCCAACGGTACTAGGACGACCAACAAGAAGGCTACCAGTAACAACCCGAGTCAATTTTCCATTCATGCGGCGATAGTTTTCACAACTACCATTACGGAGCTGATGAAGGGCCTTTCATGATCTGGATCAGATGGAAGATGTCCTGCCAGCACCAGTTAGCGACCCTTCCAATGAAGAAGAAGAAGGCAATGTCAATGCAGACAACTTTGACCCTCTTGAAGGTACTGATGATTCAGGCCCAGAGTCAGAGTTAGACTCAAATGATGATGAGGTGTCTCATGACCATGTACCTATTTTGTACTACAATTATAGTCTAAATGAGAATTAGTATGTCGACGCCGACATGGAGCCACCAGAGGTGCCAATATGGGGTCCACTCACTAGGTTTATGAATTGCAAAAAATTTGGTACAAAGAAGGAGGTGCGGCATGCTATTGAGAATGAAGCAATGACTCAGAGTTTTGAATGGTGCACAACTCATTCCAACGCGAAGAGGCTCATAGTTAGATGCCGAAATCAACACGAGTGATGCAAGGCTAGGATCCAGGCCATCAACAGCAAGAGAATCGACCACAGGGTCATATCCCGTGCGGTGAACACTCACACATGTGTGTCATCCATAACATCCCAAGGCCATCGACAGTTGAAATCCAGGGTGTTTGTCGCGGCTATCAAGCATCTAATTAAGCAACAACCCGATCTGAAGGTGAAAGCATCATCGCCGACATTTCTAGTCATTATGGATATATTATTAACTATAAGAAGGCGTGGCATGGAAAGCAGAAAGCCATGGTCGCCGCCTTTGGTGACTAGGAAGAATCATATGCATTCCTTTCCAGATTGATTTTGGCATTGGAGGCGTCTAACCCTTACACTGTTTTCTCCCCCGCTATCAAGACGACGAGATCCAGCTACCGAGCCCGGTAACAAACGTCATTTCAAATGTCTTTTTGGGTCATTCAAGCCATCTATTGATGGTTTTGGCTTCTTTGTCCCTGTGATGCAAGTGGATGGAACATTCCTTACCGGGAAGTACAATGGTTGTCTCCTGATTGCCAGTGGAGCGGATGCAAATAGACAAGTCTTTCCTTTAGCCTTCGCCATTGTTGAGCGAAAGAATACCGAAAGCTATGCATTGTTCCTCAGACAAATACACTTCCACGTCACTATGAGGACCAACTTGACAATCATCTCTGATCGCCATGCCGGGATCAGAGCTGTCATCTTAGGGTTGGATCCAGACTAAAAGTGGTCCCACAGGTGGTGCATATGACACTTCAAGAGCAATTGGAACCATCATCCATTTTTTCAATAAGTCGAACAGAGTTTCGACAGGTTTTGAGGAAAAACCAAAGAGATGTTTTCTAATGGCATATCGGACTTAGCCGCAACCAACAGACCACTATTTCCTAGGTTTTGGGGGGCGGGGGAGAGTGGATGGATAGAGAGATAATTTTAGAGAGAGAGAGAGATGATCGGTTATGGTGTGAAAAAATGGATATGGGGAGGGGGTTTATATAAGACTCAGACCGCCCCCTGCCGGGGCGGTTTTGTAATTTTCATACCACATAAATTGCTTCCCTAGAGAACGGTTTGCGTTAACCGAGGTGAGAAACCGCCCCTTTGGCCAGTGGTCTTCAATACCTTACGTGGATCGATGTGTTAGCGCGCGGTCCGCCATTGGATCGCTCCCCTATCCAACGGTTAAGGAAACCGCAGCTTCCCTAGGCGGTGCCCAGGCTGCCCTAGCGGAGACCATGCCTTTCCCACACAGTTTCTCTGTAAACCGCTTCTTCCGTCTGCGTTTTCTACACAAACCGCACCTTGGGCGTGTGGTTTTTAATAAATGGTGCTATTTATGGAATTTGTGTGGGTTGAATGCTATTTTTGTAAATGGTTTTTAAATGGTGCTATTCCTAGAAAAAAAATCTTGAAAACAGAGTATGTGGTGATGGAATAAACAAAATTACAAAGCCAAAGGATAGATGGAGGTGGTATGGAGTCGTGTGGTGTGGGAAGAAAAACAAAAGCTAGTGGTGAGACTAGAGAGAAAATAATGGGAATTGGGTTGTAGTGGGCTTGTGGCTAATAAAGGCAAAGAAGATTAAGATTTAGATGTTGAAGATAACTTTTGCTTCCTCTGCTTTTTCTTGTGCAGGTATCCTCGAGATAGCAAAAAGATCTACCCTTTTCTGATTTTTTTAATTCATTCCTTTCTCCACCGTACCCCGGGATAACATCTCGAGGAGCTTGTGACGGGGCAGTAGCAACAGCTCGAGCAGCTACGGTTGGACGAATAAATAGATTGTTGGTGTTATGCTGGAAGCCAGGAAAACAACAAAGCATATTGCTACAAGGTCGACGAGAGAAGCAGATCAAGGGCTTGCCCGACAATAGAGAGAGACCCGACGAAAACGGGCAGCAAGGAGACTGGGAGATGGCGGTAGGCAACAGACGGCAACAACGGATGGCGATACAGATCTATAAGAGCAGGAGACTTGGCTATGGTGGGCAGATCTGGAGAATAGATAGGATATAGATACAGTAGGTGACGGGATCAACGGTGGGGACAAAGCAGATCAATAGAGGAAACAGAGCGTACGAGACCCGGAAGTGGAGAAACAAAGTTTGTTTTGGAGGGGCTTGCTGACGTCAAAACAGAGGACAAGATATGGATTTTGAGTTTCTAAACTGAGGAAGAGGGAATTTCAACACACAGATACGACAAGTGGAGACTCGGTGAGTGAACTTGGCTGGAAACAAGGATTTATTTTTCTCTTCTTCTTTTTTCTGGAAGCTTGAAACTGGGAAACGGGGGCAGAGATAACAAAGGACCAAGGAAGGCTAGGACTCAAATAACAGATGGATGAAGGTTGACAGACGGGTGAAGGATTTCAGAGGAATGCAAAAGGTTATAACTTAAGAATGGTTTAGAAACTCAACAGTGGAATCTTTTTTCTTTCTTTCTTTTCTTCTTCCTGGGCTTCCCTTCACAAGAATCAGATCCAAACTCTGATACCATGTTAGATAATTGGAGGGATCGCTGATTCTTGTGTAAGAAAGCCAACTCAAGCTTCTTCTTTGTATTGATAATGTACAAAGTATTTATAAGCATACAAAAGATGTATACAGACAAATACATTTATTACATGACTAATAATATCTAGAGCATCAAATCTTGAACGTGTTTTTTGGTTGATGTGGAGTAGGGATGGCAATGGGTCGGGTTGGGGCGGGTTTTGTCAAACCCAAACCCAAACCCATGGGTTTATCTGCAAAAAAAAATAGCCGGGGTAAAACCCGTTGGGTTTGAAAAACTCAAACCCAACCCGCTGGGTATCCGCGGATTCATGGGTACCCATGGATTTTTGTGGTAAAAAATTTACAATAAAAAATTTCTTTCAAAACAAAAGTCTAACATCCATTTTCTCATAAAAATTATCCATACAAAAAACACTAATCTAAAGCATACAAGCAAACCGCAAATTATCAATACAAATAGTTCATAATTAAAGATAAACATTCATAAACAATATGATTAATTGAAAGCTCCTTCCTCCTTGTCAACTAAGCTTCTTCACACTCCACTACATAATACCAACTTCATTGTACACAATTAGTAAGAATAAATTAGACATGTCTCCAAAAACATAAAAAAGATTAATTGTTTAAAGAAGATATATTGCTTATAATATTAAATAATCCGGAAAAATTGATTATATGGGTGTGAGTGGGTACCCATGGGGCGGGTTTACCTAAACCCAACCCAACCCGGTGAATAGTGTATCGGGTTTTACCCGCGTTGACCGGGTTGGGTCGGGTGGGTACCCGTGGGTTTGGGTTTTGTTGCCATCCCTAATGTGGAGCATGAAGCATGAACATTGATTTGTGTGACACATGGACAAATTAACTCTGTTAATAGGGAGGATCAGGGAAGAAGGGTTAGAAGCAAGAATGGGGAAAGGTCAGGGAAGAAGAGGGTTAGACATTGGAGAAGGGAAGAGGGGGTTGGGTTGGAGTGACGTGCCGGGTCGTGTCTCATCATTTTCGGGTTAAATTATGCTCATTAGGCGATTCTGTTTGCCACGTCAACACATAACGGACTCTGTTAACAGAGTTGGACAGAGACTAATAGAGAATGACCAAACATGGATCATTTTATTAATTCGAGTAACCAACATTTGAATTAAATATTTTTAGTGACTAAACATGACACTATTTGGTAAATCCAGTGATCAAACCGTGAAATTTACCCATTAATAAACTGAATTGCTATTTGTCGCCCTAAAATTTAAATTTTATCGCCCTAAAATACATCAAATTGACAATCTTACCCCTCATACCCCATTCCTTTTGCTGCCGCAGCCGCCGCATCTTCTTGGCGGACTTCCTCTTCATTGAAAAGCTTGGCTCCATTTGTGGCAGAGGCCCAGAACCGCCGTCGTCGATTGCACCATCGCCACCACCTAGGTCGAAAACCACTGCGGCCGCTACATCAATACGGCAGTCGTCGTTCCAGTGTCGGTACGACCCGCTCAGCTACTCGCTTAACTTCGGTCGGAGCCTGCTCAACGACGACGAGGAGTACCTCTAGTTCTGCGCCTTCTCCTCATGATTCGTCGCCAATCCCAGTAGAAACTCCATCGTCGCTGCAACGTAACCGGATTGAAACAGGGCATCGTTAACTTGATATGAAATGTTGCTCTGTCTCTTGTAAATGTCACAAAATCAATCCCTGAGTTCTGGCATTATGTGGAGATGACTGCAACTATAGTTAAGAAATGATGGAGTGGGAAGCAGCATGTTCTGTTCTCTTTTTTCTCCTTTCTGTTATTTATAAATTCCACTTTCCTTCTTGAGTAATGTCTAAGTAAGAAAGCTTCAGTCTTCTGATGAGGGATGGCATTCTGTTTTTTGCCGTATTCATAACATGCTGAAAGAAATTCTGGAGAAAGCTTTAGTTTTCTCATTTGGGTTGCTCTATTATTTGCTATGGGTATTAAGGTAAAATTAACTAGTTTTTTACCCGCCCGTTGGGCGGTGCATTACATTTGATTATTTTAAAATTCGTTATAGTATTCTAATTATTATTATCATTTATGTTTGTTGATTTAATACACATGAAATTGTAAATCTCACTTACCTTATTTAGGTAATGTTTCATACTTTTATACCTTTTTTATTTATGAAAAATTTAATTGTATTAACTGAGCTCTTTGTAGACCGTTCTTTATTGATTTAAAATATTGTATCGAACTCAAAAAAGTGATAAAGAAGTTAAAAATTTTAAGGTAAAAAAATGAAGAAGTTAGGATAAGAAAATAAGATTCAATTAATAAAATAAGTGGAGAGCTTTTCATTTTCTTTCCCTTTTCCTATGTTGGTATATGATAATAGAGAATATTCCGATCTAGATCTCACGAATATCGTGTATTATCAGTTACACCTGCAATTCTGGAATAATGATGAAATACATTAGCATCCACATCCATCAGTCTTCTGGATACTCAATTAATTTATCTTGTCAATGTTCTAGCAAAACCAACCACAAACAGAACTATCAGTTGTCACTAATTTATTAAAACAATATTTTCAACAAACTAAACTTCATATAAACACAATTTATAATTTATAGAGAGCTGCATATATCCTAAAGGAAAAAATAGTGCTTTTTTACCTAATAACAACATAGACAAATAATGAAAGGAGCATACTTCAATACAACTCAACTCATTCTATCTTGCAGATTCCTAATTTGTGAACTAACTCTATGCACCAATCAAAATAGTAGTTGGTAAGAAAATAATCATGTCAAAATCAAGCTTTAGTTAAGGCTTTAATGAGGAGAAATTCACCATAATGAAACAAACAAATGTCATTGCAAACGTGTAGAAATTGAAAAAACATCAAAATACACAGCCGACGAACCGCCACAGTCATTTTCT